ACCAATTATATTATTCAAATATGATCAGCAATATTAGCAAATAATATTATGTAAAAAATATATTGACATTATTGATGAAAGCATGTCTAATATTATTTTTAAGTAATATTCTATTGCATCTAAAATATCTTTAAAATATTCTGTTGCATCTAAAATATCTAAGTATATAAAAATATCTGGGACATAAAATAACTGTCCCTGAAAATATGAATGAATTTACAAAAACAAATATTTCGAGATCTATTGTCAATAATTATATTTTATTTCCAAAAAAATCCAATTTACATTAATAAGTTAAATCACGTCGGATTTTGTTCGCACACCAAAGAAGAATACGCGATCAGTACAGTTCGGGGTTCTTTTTATTTATACTCAACAGTGTTATCTCATCGTCAAAAATAAATTTACCAGAATATTCTTTTAAACTGCTGAATCTACGTAAATTGTTGTATGGTGCAATCAGCTGAAAGATTTTACTATTGATCACATGACTATCACGTGATGTAAACAAAAGTTTAACAGTGACGTATCTTTAGCCATGGCAAGGTGTTGAGGCCCTTACAAGTACTATGAAATTCTAAAATTTATGCTATATTTTCCAAGTGGTTTTGCAAATTGCATGTATAAAATATTCTAATTAAGGTATTGCATATATTCTGAAAAGTATAAAATGTGAATTTTCCAGAATGTTAATTTTGTTTTCAAAACGTAATGACAGACTTTCAGATCATAATTGAGAAGATATATCGCAATTAATTCGAGTTGTCATAGAGACATTTTAAAGGAAGATTGTTAAGAATTGAAACTTATGCATTGATTTATATTCTTCAGTTTAAATTTTATCTTAATTTTAAATGTTCTATTAGTTAAAACTAAGATTTATATACTGTACATATATTTTATATTATAAATCTTTTAGATATTTTATCATTTTGATTAATGTATAAAATCCTAGATTTAATTCAATAAAATAAATTTATATAAAGCCGTGGTATTTATTGAAAGTCTTAGCAAATCATAATTTATATATCCCTTATAAAAAATAAGCATTTTTATTAAAACTCTCATTTTTAAAATACATAATCTTATATATAAACTCTCATTTTAAAATGGTTCTTAATGTCGTGGAATAACAGTGAACTTTTCAAGTATGTAAATTTACTGTCTCATTTTCGTCATTCGTCTTTAAATGAAAAAAGATATTAATTGGTCCAAGACATTATCATGTGGGTGTTTTATGTAATGAAGCCAAACAAAACGGAAAACATTTCTTCTAGGTCTACTTTCCAAACAAAAAATATTTCTCATATTTGTTATTATGTACAATCAAAGTCTTCCCATATTCGCTCTAAATGTTTAACGACGGTAGAACCAAGCATGGATAAACCAGGTTGATTGCTGGGCCTCATTTACTCGCTCTTCATCTGGGAAAATTTGTTTGGACGTGTACGTGTTCATTTCCTGTGTCAAACCGACAAGAGTGAAACGAAATATACAAGCCCTTGTAACATTAATCTTTAAATAATATTCGAAAACCAATGATACATAGTGAAAAGAATAATGTAGATGAGTTAATTAAGCAAGAGGAAACGGAAAAAGTGAGTATCTCAAACACGGTGGTATTCGTACTCAATTTGTTTCGAGCCAGGTGAAACAATAATTCAATCAACCGAGAAATTATCATACTTAGCCTAATTCAGCACATCAGAAAATTAATATCAGTCAATGTTAAAGAAATCAATAATCTGAAATTAACATTTGGAGGGGAAAATAGTGACTGGTCACTTCCACTAACGATTAATGGCATAGGTATAAGACTATTCTGTTCCTCCCTTGACTTTTCCTGCCTGACTGTATTTCCCCTGTTTAAGAGGAGAAAAATCTTAATTTGTACAAACTGTTCCTTCCCATTTTATTCTTATAAACAGATTAAATTTAGAATTTATTGTTACATAGTAGAATATTTTTGAACCACTTGCAATCTGAAAATTTGATTCTAAATTATTATATTATTATCTGATTATATCCTTATGGTATACACATGTACTTTGTGTCAGGAATATCCAAATGTTACAAATAATGCTTGCATAAGTAATTTTTGTTGTATGAAAAGTGTTTTTCATATAATTTTCACATCAAAGTATGGTACCTTTTGATGAATTTACAAGTTTTAATAATCCTGTGTTTCCTGAATGACATAATTATCCTATTCAGCGATATATGAAAATACTTATCTTGGGATTGAAAAGATTACCAAAACTAATACTCAAGTACTACTTGGTCATTTTTCCGATCGAGTACCCAGTTACTCGGATGATTTCCAATGATATTCAAAGTTCAATATCAACACCTTCTGCTTGCTACTTTCGTTTTCTATTTAAATTAATAGAATTCGTAACATTAAATAGGACTGAAAGGGAGGTAACTTAGAATAACTAATAAACAAATAAATGTAAATTAAATCAACAACAATATATTTTACGTTTTAATTAATGCACAAGTTAAGGTCATTAAATATCATGAGAGGCCGAATGACGTAAGCGACCAATGTGTTCAATCCCATGCGCTTGTCAAACTGTAGATCACCTCGTTAACTTTACGATATCTTTTTCGTACTTCTGCAAGGATGTTTTCAATGTATTTAACAGGTATTCAGGAATATACATGTACATCTCCGGATTTCTGAACTAATTGGATTCAATAATCTTTATTATTATAATTATTTATTTTTTCTGAGTAATCAAATACCAGCTTTGCTAACCAATATAAGGGCGTTCGATCAAGTACTTGGTTAACTGGTTACTTGTTGCCATTCCTAGAAAATACATTATTAATCTTCATTTATCAGTGCAACTGATTTATTAATTGGGTTATCAAGAAGTTTATACATTGTTACAAAAAGAAAATTTGGCTTTATTTACATCTATTCATCAGATTTGATCATATCTATGTCTGATATGCAGATTTGACCTTATTTATGTCTGTTCATTATCTCATTTAAAAAAGATGATTATATTCATACAGCAAATTATGTAATTTATTTTTGTCCAGTCAGGCTGCTTCCGCAGATTTGGATTTATATCTGTCCATTCAACAGATTTAATCTTAATTTTGTCTCTTCTTCAGAATTTACATTATTTGTATCCATCTGCCAAATTTTGTCTTATTTTTGTCCATCCAGCAGACTTTACCTTGTCTATTCAACCTTATGTGAATATGTGTGACCCTTCAACATAATTTACCATTTGTTCCAGTCAGCAGTTTTTACCTTAATATTTTTGTCCAGTCAGCAAGTTTGACCTTACACAATTTGTCAAATTGTGTCAGTTTTGCAGATTTGACCTTATCCATATCTGTTTAGCATATTTGGCCTTAGTTGTGTTTCAATGTTCAGCAGATTTGACCCTATTTGATGTTTGTTCATTTCAAGGAACTCCCTTGATAATCTTTCATTAATGAAGGCGAGGAAATCTGTAAATATTGAAACTTTGTACCTTATTAGCAGGAGATGATGAAAACATTGCCATCCAGTCAGGCTTGTCGCTTGTCAGTTGAGGAGACTTGCCAGATTCTGGAGGTAAACCCTGCTAAAGGGCTCGATTCGAGTGAAGTAGTGAGGCGTCGGGCTATCCATGGCCAGAATGATTTTGAAATCAACCAAGAGACTCCCCTGTGGAAAAAATACCTAGAGCAGGTATGTCAAAATGTGGATTTATTTTAAAAGTACATGTCTTACAATAATTTAAAGTTACATCATTGTTGGTCTATGGCTATTTGTATTATAGTTGATACTTTTGGGCAATTTTATTTCATACTTTCCCCAAAAAATTTTGTTGAATTGGTCCCCAGTAATGAACTGTCTATATTTAGAATTATCTGTTTATTTCAGTTTAACAACCCACTTATACTGTTGTTGTTGGGCTCTGCTGTGGTCAGTGTGTTTATGCGGCAGTTTGATGATGCTATTAGTATAACTGTGGTATGTAAAAATTAGTATATCTTTTACTAGAAAAGTTTACTCAAGGTAAAGGAAAATATACATTGTATAGACATAAGAGTATCTCATAGTATCAGTCTGATTAAAATCAGCTCTGCATTAGGATCTGACAACTGCCAATAGGTAGTCACTTTCTCATGACCTTTCAAACAGTCAATCATTGGCAAGCTTTCACAATTTTGAAAAGGATGCAGTTTCTAATTTTAACAGCTGGAAAACCAATACTGAGTAGATAATTTTTCATGATTTTGAGAACAAACATGGCATTGTCAGTATGGTGAGCTTGTCAACTGGCAAAAGAAATTTGCCCATTAAAAATTGTGTCTTCTACTTCCAGTTTATTTGTTTCAAATTACTTCAAACCTATTTTTTTCTAACAAAAGTCAACAATTTGTTTTACTTCCATGGACAACACTATTTTGATAATTTGTCTAATGGCTATCTGTGAAGGACGAAGGAAGATTTGATTGCTAAAAATAGCTTTCTCAGAAAATTTGAATTGTAATGAAGGCGAAACAAATATGGTGGCAATCAGATCTACATCCAAGAAATAACCTAAGTACTAGTAAATCAGATTGGTCAAATATTGTGATGTCAAAAACTTAATACACTAAAAAAACACACTAATTTTCAAGCCAGTTCCCAACTTCATTTGTGTATTATTTAAAATCAACATGTCTCCAGATTCATGCTAATTTTTAAAATGTATTAAAATATAAAATATTTTGTCAAGTAAACAAGGAATGTAATTAACATATTGCGAAAGATACTTTCAGTCCATGTAAATTACCAATTGAAGGTCAAAATATCCAAAAACGGCCCTTACTGCTTAAGTCACTCAGTAGAAACAAGGTGATGAATTCTTCAAAATTAGTCATTCATTGCATAAAACTGGTAAACCATAACTTAAATTGTAAATATTTTTTTTACTTTACTTGAAATCTTAGAACGTTTTTCTCAAAGTTGATTTTCTTGAATTTTTTATTTGGCTCATCTAGAGGTATGCATCTTTAAAGCAAAATAGATGGTTATAAAGTTAATATTAACATGACTGTATTGTTTGTATTTCAGGCAATCATCATTGTTTCAACTGTAGCTTTTGTACAGGTAAGAGAAAATTTATTCATAATGGAAAATAAAAAATCAATGCAAACAATGTGAGATATCCTGTTAGAAATGTTTATTATTGGTATATTTGCATAGTGAAAGTGTTTACAGACATTAAACAGCTGGCTTTGTGTCTATATATATTTGGTCTGCATTTGAATTTGATATTGACTATTGTAAGGATTTCAATAAATTGTGACTAAAATTGAGTAGCTAACCATGTAGAATATGGCCATAATTAAATATACATTATGCTTGAATTTGTTATTTTCAAATTCTGATAATTGTTATTCAGTCCTTTTAAATGTAAAATAAAAATATTTTGAGAAAACATAGAGAAGAAATATTATATTTTAAACACTACACACTATAGATAAACACAGTAAAAATACATAGTTTCATTAAAAAATTGTATTTATAAGAAAGGACCCAATTAACTTAACCAGTAATAGGCCCCTTACCCATGTGGGTTCAATCCCAATCTTTCATGTGAAAAAGTTACCCAGCTAGCTTATGGAATGTTGGTGGTTCTACTCAGGTGCACGTTTGTGCCTGAAATAATGCATAGAAGGGCACCTGACAGGTCTTCCTGCTGGAATGTTGCCATATGACCTATACTGTGTTGGTGTGATGTAAAACCCAACGGAATCAAAAAACAAAAAATAAAAGTAACACCTTGATGTCGGGACATACCGATATGTCTATGCCCTGATTTCAGGGACATACCGTGATGTCCGAGATGTTATGGCACGTATGCCTTTATAGTGTCAGTTTGACTTAAAACTCAATAAAAACAAGAAAAAAGAAAATCATATAATGTAGGGAAAAAGAGTGGCTCAGAAAGAAATTAAAAATTTTTCTCTTAAATGCCTATTCATTATTCATAGTAGTTTATTATCTGATACATAACAGCCTGTTACATTAATGTACAATTGCATTTCATGCTTTAATAAACCATGAAATATATGTATTGATATACATCCAGCAGACAAATATATGCTTGTATTAGTGTAATGAATAGCAACAGATTTTCCAGCGTATTTGAAAAGAATTAAAGAATTTAAACCATTCTATATAATGTGAATTATAAACACAAGAAATCACATACTTAATTAATAGTGGGGCGGGAAATTGAGAAAATAGTGCAAATTGTGATACAAGCATGAAACTTTCAGGAAATCATCTTTAGACCATGTAGATTTCAAAAGTGAAGTGGGCCCAAAAATATCTCTGCTCATTCAAGATGGCCGCCATTTTCAAAATGGCCGCCATATACATTTGACGTACATACTAGCTCATTCATTCCAATTTTTGGTAGAGACCAAAATCATGCATATAGTTTCTCCTTTTCAAAAATTTAAATCTTACAAAATTTCTCTTTCATACCTCTTCCAAATCCAAGATGGCGTCCAATATGGCCGTCGATTGTGTGCAAAACTGTTATATCATTTCTATAGTATAATTTGTTGCACAAATTATGTTTATTATGATAAAAAGTGTTTAAACATATCAGAGATAAGATTTCAAATTATATATTGATCTCAATAAAAGTAAACATTTTATAAGTTTTTGTCTTAGAAATATCTTTTAGAAAGATCAAGAAAAAAATCCATTTTTTCATATTTTTCAAATTTGATTTCCTTACTTAATGTACAAACTTAAAAAGTTACTTTATATCTTAAACTGTATTTGACATTCCATTAATATCATGTGTTTATTGTAAAAAATGTAAAAACAAAACATTAAATCTGTAGGATTTATATTTTGTGAAAGTGGGTGGGGTAATTTTATACGGTAATTATTGTAAAAGAAAAAACAACAGAAAATAAACATAGCTAAGTTCATTCTATTTCTTTGCCTTTTTGCTTTTCTATGAATTCTAATGCAAATGTTCCAACTTAAAAAGTAGTTTTTATTGGATGAAAGTATTTTTGTCTTCCTTCGGACCAAGTGGCTAAGCAAGAAATGCACATACAAACATGTGTATACATTCAGTTATTAAATTTGGTTGCATGATAATTTTTGTTTCAATATATTTGATATCATATATTAATTGTTAATTGTAAAGACATATAAGAAGACAATTAAACGTGCTTAAAATTGCAAGCATGTACATGAATGTAAGGTATAAAGGTAGTCCATAAACGCATACTTTTGACTCCTTCACAATTTTATATTTATAATATTAACATGGCTTAAAAGCCAACAAAATGTATATGATGTGAAACAGATATATCAATGATATGGCCTGGCCTGCATGCAGTTTTTTGAAAAGTCTAGATACAAAGTAAGTGTATTTCCTAAAGTAATCATATCTCATTTTTTCTTTCAATAAGAGGGCAATGATGACCCTGGATCACTCACCTAAGATCATTGTTGGAAAAAAGGTAACAAGATCATTTTGGGAGTGTCAATTATGTCATAACACACATGATTTGTGTCATAATTGAATGCGGTTGCGTTTAAAGAAACATGCTCAATATCTAGTTTCATTTTTTTTCACACGAGAGGACTTTAATAACCATATTCATATATGAGTCCATATAAACTTAGTAAATTTTGACCATGTTGACCATGATATATCAAATATTTGTAGAGTATAACACAATTATGATGATACATGATTAATGTCTATGCGTCGGATATTGTTGGTTAGGAGAAAACAGATTTAATACATTAGTCTTTGTAAATTAAGTGATACTCATTGCAAAACCATTTTAGACTGCAGTAGCATCATACAAATGTATGCATGTTATATCAGGCTACATCCCAAATATCTTAGTTCAAGTCATTGTTGTTTAACACTTGATGTTTTAATGTGTTTTCCTATACAAGACTGTGAACCCAGGTGGCTCTATGAGCATGATACATTAAATATGTTAATAAAGACACAAGTTGGGGCTACATGCTTAGTACCTGTGCTCTGTGCATTTTGATTTTTGAGAAGATTTTTAATTTTGCATGTACACTTAATGATCCAAAAGTGTTTAATGTAACTTTAAAAGAGGTCTTCCTTACTTGGCAAGATTATATGGTGACTATCTAAGCTCTAGGCATTGTAGTTTCTTTGTTTGTTGATTTTTTTTAATAACAACAACAACAAAAAAACTTCAATAAGATTTCCTACACAGGTCTTTAATAACTGCGTTCCTCGTGAGGGCCTTTAAATCATGCTCCTGCAGCCCAAAATTGCTTTACCTGTCACTTTGTTTACATTGACTTATATAATAAAATTCTTCTCCGAAACTACAGTGTACAGAGAAGAAAATATATCGTATATCATCACATTGTGATGCTATATATTTAAGATTATGAACTATTTTGGCATAGGGTCAAAATCTCTTAGTTTTCATGGACTCTTATTGGAATATAGTTATATGAGTCTTTTTGTAGTTCTGAGAGCCTAGTTATTGGGCATGTTTCTTTTCAAATAGTATATAAATCATGACTGTATTTGGTGAAAAAAGATACTATTTATATGATTTTAGCATTCTTCAGTATTAAAGAATTATAGACCTTTAAATTCCAGCAGTGGATCTTAGGCGAGTGATCTAGAGTCAACTATTCTCTATTGTTTAATGGGGAAAATAAAGTATGAATACATTTAGTTTATATTCCAAATCATAAGCTATGTTATGTGGGTCAAGCGGTTTTATTGATACCCATTTTAGCACACATAGATAATATGATGCATCAGTCGCCTTAATTTTTGTTTCTTTTGAAAATATCATGTCTACATAAGTTATTAGAAATGGACAGTACTAACTCAATTATACTTGGTTACAAAGATGTGCAAGTAAATATAACTTTGAATCATTCTGTTACAAGCATTTAGCAAGACTAAATTGTCCAGGAAATAATTTATTCATAAATAGAAACATTTCACTCAGGTCCAGGCATGATTTTATCTAACATATGGTTCGTTGATGAATATTCAGTCTTCTTTCTGTACAATTATCAAATTGTATTAAGAATATTGAAACAACTTATATCATGCAAACACATTTAATAACTGAATGTATACATATAATTGTATCTGCATTTATTGATATTTTAGTACACCCTCTAGACCTGAAGGAAGACCAAAATACCTTAATACAATGAAATACTTTTACAGTGAATATTTGCATAAGAATTCATAAAAGACGTTATTTTGTACTACAATTGTCTGAAAAATTTACCCCACCCACTTTGAATAAGTATAAAACCTTCACATTTTTTGTTTTTGTTACAATTATACAATAAATCATAGTGTTGATTCAATATCAAATACACTTTAAGAAACTATGTAACTTTTGGAATTTTGTACATAGACCTAGAAAACCATGTTAGAGAAAAATGCAAAAAGTGGCACTTTTTCTTTGATATTTTTAAAGATTTTTTTGTGTACAAAAAACTAAAAACATGACTAACAATGTGGTTAACCTAAAATTTGATTTTTATTCTAATATGTTTAACAATTTTATATGGAAATAAGCATACTGTGTGCAAAAAATTATACTACAAAAGAGATATATCAGTTTTCATTACAATTGGCAGCCATATTGGACGCCATCTTGGATTCTGAAGAAATATGCAAGCGAAATTGCTTAAAAATTTAAATATTTGAAAAGGGGAAACTATATGCATGCTTTGGAGTAAGTTTCAAGTCTGTACAAAAAACTGGAATGAATGAGCTATTATATACGTCAAATTTATATGGCGGCCATCTTGAAAATGGCGGCCATCTTGAATGAGCAGAGATATTTTTGGGCCCACTTCACTTTTGAAATCTACATGGTCTAAAGATAATTTCCTGAAAGTTTCATGCTTGTATCACAATTTGCACTATTTTGACAGCAGAGACCTTATTTCCCGCCCCACTATAAGACCAGCATTGACTTTCTATGTGAAAATGAACTTAATGTTAGGGTGGTTTTATACAAGAAACACATCATATGATTTATTTAATTGATTGATTTACATTTGAAACCCTTAAAGTGATGAATGCAGATGGAAAGATAGACATGTTCATTTCAGATATTTAACATGGCAAAGGGGTAAATAATCACAAT